TGTCCCTGTGGCACTGGATGGGATTTGAGGTCCCTTCCCACCCCAAATCCTTCCATAATTATGGGCACTGCTGCACTGGGCACTTCCCTCTCTGTTTGAACCTCTGGGATTTGAAGCTTTTATCAATTTATTTTTTAAATTAATTTAATTAATGTGCAAGGAGAGTTCTGGAGGTGAACTTTCCGCGTCCCTTTGGAATGCAAGGAGCAGCAGGTGACTGTGGGTGGTGGGAATGGCAGGAGGAGAGAATGGGGGGAATTGTGGAGAGCAAGAGCTGAGCTGCTCATCCTGTCCCCATGGCAGGGCTGGCACTGGCTGAGCTTTGAGGTTCCTTGCCCCCAGAGCACTCCAGAATCCCGTGATTCCGTGAAAATCCGTCCATTGTGGTGTTTTATGGAACGCTTGGAGCTCTCTGGGGTTTGCCACTTGTGGGGAGTTTCTTGTCTGCCCAGAATCCCTTCATCCCCTCCCTGGGAACCCTTTGGTGCCCGAGGGGGATTCCTGCTCCTTCAATGTCCAATTTAATTTACCAGCAAACCTAAAGTTTATCTGTAAAAGCAAATGCCTTTTTTTTTATTATTATTATTTATTTATCAGTCAGTGGAATTCCCATTGTTCCTTGTATCTCCCAGTGCTGGTTTTACCTGTGTTTGTAAAGACAAATCCAGCATTCCTCTCACTGCAGCCCCACAGGGCCAGCTCGGGGTGAGCTGTTGGTGGGGACAAGGGCACGTGTGCTGTGAAAAACTCCAATCGCTTGGTTTTTAAAATTTTAAAAGTTTCGTAGTGATAAAATGGTTATAAAATAATAGTAATACAATTAGAGTAATAATAATTTGGACAATTTGAATTAGGAGAATATGAGACAATAAAGACAAAGAGTTACAGACAGTCTGGGTACCTTTTCTGGGCAGCAGGAGCCCTGAAAAGGACCCACGTAAATGAAGGATTAACCCTTAAAAACAATAACCTGTTGCTTATTCAATATTCAATATTCATACACCCCATACATGATGCATAAATTCCATTCAAACACAGGATTCTGTCTGGGCAGTGCCAGCTTCTTCCTCTTAATCCTAAATCTGAATCCTAAATCTTCAGGGCTGAGGACACAGGAAGAAGTTCATTTCTTCTGATAATGGAGCAAGAAATTCTCTTTCTCTGAAAGTTTCAGGTGTCCTGTCCCATCTCGCTGCCAGTCCTTTCTTTAAACAAAGTCTCCTACACAGCACATTTCGATTTTAACAATTTTTATAACCTAAAACTCTATTTAACACACTACTTAAGAGAATTAATACAGCATAACCTTCTACCACAACACATCTAATATTCATTTGAATATCTGCGAAAAGCCAATCATTAAAATTACACATTTTCCACGCGTGCCAAGCAATTAAATGACCCCAGAGCGGTGCCAGGAGCAGGAATTGCATCCCGAGGTGGGACCCTGTGCCAGGGCTGCCAGCATTCCCACAGTGCCTTGGCCAGCCTGGCATCTGTTTGTCCTTGTCATGCTTCAAACTAAATATTTATCCTTGTCCCCACGGGCTGGAGCAGAGCTGAGGCCCTGCCACAAATGTCACAGCCTGGGGGTGGCGTTTGGGGACAGCCGGCTCTGCGTGGCCGTGACAAGGACAATATTTGCCTGGGCAGCAGCATCTTGCTGTGTTTGCAGAGTGGTGGTGGTGGCAGTGGCTCTGTGCTGGGGCCAGCCAGGGGTGCTGCTGTCACCTGTCACACCAGGGAATGCACCTGCTGCTGCTGCTGCCCAGGGGGAGGTGTGGCTCTCGCCTGCTTTGTGGCGCCAAAAATCCCCCCAAAAATCCCCCAAACGTCTCCAAATCATCCCCCAAAATTCCCCCCAAAACCTCCCAAAAATTCCCCAGAAATCCCCCAAACATCTCCAAAACATCCCCCAAACATCCCCCCAAAATTCCCCAAAACATCCCCCAAAAATTCCCCAAAAATCCCCCCAAAAATTCCCCAGAAATCTCCAAAACATCCTCCAAAATTCCCTCAAAAATTCCCCCAAAAATTCCCCCCAAAATGCCCCCAAAAATTCCCCAAAACATCCCCCCAAAAATTCCCCAGAAATCCCCCAAACATCCCCCAAAATTCCCTCAAGAATTCCCCCAAAAATTCCCCCAAAAATCCCCCCAAAATTCCCCAAAACATCCCCCAAAAATCCCCCCAAAACCCCCAAAAATTCCCCAGAAATCTCCAAAACATCCCCAAAATTCCCTCAAAAATTCCCCCAAAAATCCCCCCCAAAATTCCCCAAAACATCCCCCCAAAATTCCCCAAAACATCCCCCAAAAATCCCCCCAAAACCCCCCAAAAATTCCCCAAAACATCCCCCAAAACATCCCCCAAAACATCCCCCAAAACATCCCCCAAAACATCCCCCAAAACATCCCCCAAAAATTCCCCCAAAAATTCCCCAAAAAATTCCCCAAAAAATTCCCCCAAAATCCCCCCAAATCCCCCCAAAAATCCAGGGGTTGTGGCCTCAGCTGTGCCTGGGCAGGCTGGGGCTGGAATCTCCTCATGGGAAAGGTGGGCAGGTGATGGAAGGGGCTGCTCAGGGAGGTGTCACCAGCCCTGGAGGTGGCCAAGGAACCACTCAGGGCTCTGGGGACCAGGTGGGGATTGGCCAGGGCTTGGGCTCGATGGTCCTGGAGGGCTTTTCCAAGGAGGGGGGGTCTTTTCCCAGCTGGATGGTTCTGGGAGAGCACCTCCAGTTCTTTTCTGTGAGAGCACCCTCAGTTCTTGCTTTGTGAGAACACCTCCAGTTCTTTTCTGGGAGAGCACCTCCAGTTCTTTTCTGTGAGAGCACCCTCAGTTCTTGCTTTATGAAAACACCTCCAGTTCTTGTTCTGTGAGAACACCCTCAGTTCTTGTTCTGTGAGAGCACCTCCAGTTCTTGCTCTGTGAGAGCACCTTCAGTTCTTTATGAAAACACCTTCATCCCCCCAAAAATCCCCCCAAAAATTCTTCAGTTCTTGCTTTGTGAGAACACCTCCAGTTCTTGCTTTGTGAGAACATCTTCAGTTCTTGCTCTGTGAGAGCACCTTCAGTTCTTTATGAAAACACCTTCATCCCCCCAAAAATTCTTCAGTTCTTGCTTTGTGAAAACACCTTCAGTTCTTTGTGAGAACACCTCCAGTTGTTGCTTTGTGAAAACACCTTCAGTTCTTGCTTTGTGAGAGCATTTTCAGTTCTTGCTTTATGAAAACATCTCCAGTTCTTGCTCTGTGAGAACACCTCCAGTTCTTTATGAAAACACCTTCATCCCCCCAAAAATCCCCCCAAAAATTCTTCAGTTCTTGCTTTATGAAAACACCTTCAGTTCTTTATGAAAACACCTTCAGTTCTTGTTCTGTGAGAGCACCTCCAGTTCTTGTTGTGCTCCCTGTGTTGCTGTTTTGGGAAGCCTGCAGCTGTCTGCTTTTTGTGTCCCAGCGTTGGTGACACCTCTGCCTTCCCAAGGTGACATCCCTGCGTTTGCAGCAGCCTCAGGTCCTGAACTGGCTCTGAAATCCCCCACTGGGATGCGTGAATGTGCCAGGGCAGCTCTGGCATCCCACCAGAATCATTTCAGGCACCTCCCTGCCCTGCCCAGACAAAAAACCTGGGAGCTGGGGGGGTCAAGGAGCAGGAGGGAGAATTTGATCATTCCAGAGGGAGGAATTGCAGTGTCTGAGTGCCAGATCTTGGACTGGGAGCTGAGGCTGAGGAAGCTGAGCTCCTCATTTCTCGTCCTGGTCGTGCTGAAGGTGCTGGGTGGGCTTTGCCTGGATCCTTCCACCCCTCCCAGCCCAGATTTGGGCTCGGGTTTCTGGGGTTTGGTTCCAAATAAGTGATGGGAGGAGAGGTGAGAGCACCAATCCTGCTGGGAGCAGAGGTTTGGGAGAGCCTGGAGCTGCCCAGGGATGCAAAGGACAAAAGGTTTTGGTAGTGGAGGAAATGGTGGTGAAAAGCAGCTGTTTGGGGAGGGAAATCCAAAGGAAGTTTTGGGGGGTTTTCCTTCATAAAGGCAATGGAAATGCTGCCCTGCCAGCCTTGGGATGGGGCAAGGTCTCACTGTGGGGCTCAGCTGCTCTGCCCCCATCACCCTCATCATCCTCATCATCCTCATCCGCCCCAGAGCTTGGCCCAGCCAGGCTGGAGCTTTGCTGGGTGGGACCAGGAGCAGATCCCTGGTGGAGGAGGAGGAGGAGGAGGAGGCAGAGTATTGGGGTCTCCCTGAGCTCTGCACTGTGGGGAACCCCCTGCCCTGTTTGGTTTCATTCCTTTCTTTGCTTTTTCCTTCTGGGGAGAGGGGCAGGAGCTGCCCAGCTGTGCCCACCTTGGCTGACCCTGGAGTTCTCTGTCCCCTCCTTGGCTGACCCCAGGGTTTTCTATGCCCACCTTGGCTGACCCTGATATTTTCTGTCCCCTCCTTGGTTGATCCCAGTGTTTTCTGACCCCTTCTTGGCTGATCCCAGTGGTTTTTTTGCCCACCTTGGCTGACCCTGGTGTTCTTTGTCCCCTCCCTGGCTGACCCCAGTGTTTTTTATCCCCTCTTTGGCTGACCCCAGTGTTTTTTGTTCCCACCTTGGCTGATCCTGGTGTTTTCTGTCCCCTCCTTGGATGACCCTGATATTTCCTGTGCCCACCTTGGCTGACCCCAGTGTTTTTTATCCCCTCCCTGGCTGCCCCTGATATTTTCTGTCCCCTCCCTGGCTGACCCCAGTGTTTTTTATCCCCTCTTTGGCTGACCCCAGTGTTCTCTGACCCCTCCTTGGCTGACCCTGATATTTCCTGTGCCCACCTTGGCTGACCCTGGTGTTTCCTATCCCTACTTTAGCTAAACCCTGATATTTTCTGTCCCCTCCCTGGCTGACCCCGGTGTTTTTTATCCCCTCCCTGGCTGACCCCGGTGTTTTTTATCCCCTCCCTGACTGACCCTGATGTTTTTTATCCCCTCCCTGGCTGACCCCGGTGTTTTCCATCCCCAGACAAGGCTGAGAACGGGGAGCCCTACCAGCGGAGGAGGGGAGCGGGGCCCCCCCTGCCCGAGGGCCCCCCAGCATTCCCAGCACCCCAGGACGGAGCCGCCCTGGCCAGGAGCAGCAGCTGGAGGAGGATTTTGCTGATGATCCTGGCTATCACCATCCACAACATCCCAGGTGAGCCCGTCCCCGCTCGGATCCCGCTCCTCCCCTGGCAGCCCCGTTCCCCTGGCAGGTGGCAGGGGCTGAGCGGGCGCCTTTGGCCGGGATTTCTGAGCCACATTTGGTGGGGCTGAGCCACGTGAGGCCTTGGCAGCAGCAGAGCTGCTGGGGAGGGGGCTGGGGGGGCCTGGAGCAGCTGCAGCCACCCCGGTGCCAGCCCAGCGTGGGTGGGAGCTGGAGCTCCCTGCGTGGGTGGGGAGAGGTGGCAAACCCTGAAAACCCTGAAAATCCTGCAAACCATACAAACCCTAAAACCCCGCAAACCCTACAAACCCTGCAAGCCCTGCAAACCATTCAAACCCTGCAAACCCTAAAACCCTACAAACCCTGCAAACCCTAAAACCCTGAAAACCCCGCAAACCCTGCAAGCCCTGCAAACCATACAAACCTTACAAACCCTGCAAACCCTGCAAACCCTACAAATCCTACAAACCCTGAAAACCATACAAACCCTAAAACCCTGAAAACCCTGCAAGCCCTGCAAACCTTACAAACCTTACAAACCCTGCAAACCCTACAAATCCTACAAACCCTGAAAACCATACAAACCTTACAAACCCTACAAATCCTGAAAACCATACAAACCCTGCAAACCCTGCAAACCCCACAAACCCTGCAAACACTGCGAACCCCACAAACCCTGCAAACCCTACAAGCCCTGCAAACCCTAAAACCCTACAAACCCTACAAACCCTGAAAACCATACAAACCTTACAAACCCTGCAAACCCTACAAACTCTGCAAACCCTAAAACCCTACAAATCCTGCAAACCCTGAAAATCCCACAAACCCCACAAACCCTACAAGCCCTGCAAACCTTGCAAACCCTGCAAACCCTACAAACCCTGCAAACCCTACAAGCCCTGCAAACCCTGAAAACCATACAAACCCTGCAAACCCTGAAAATCCTGCAAACCCTACAAACCCCACAAACCTTACAAACCCTACAAACCCTGCAAACCCTACAGGGAATTGTTTTGGGGGCTTGGAGATTCCCTAAGGGGGATGAGCTTCCCTTTTATTGGAATTGATTTAGGGACTTGGAGCCCTAAAGGGGACGAGCTCCCCTTTTATTGGAATTGTTTTGGGGGCTTGGAGATTCCCTAAGGGGGATGAGCTCCCCTTTTATTGGAATTGTTTTAGGGACTTGGAACCCTAAAGGGGATGAGCTCCACTTTTATTGGAATTGTTTTGGGGGCTTAGAGCCCCAGGATGGATGAGCTCCCCTTTATTGCCAGCAGGGAATTGTTTTGGGGACTTGGAGATTCCCTAAGGGGGATGAGCTCCCCTTTTATTGGAATTGTTTTGGGGACTTGGAACCCTAAAGGGGATGAGCTCCCCTTTTATTGGAACTGGTTTAGGGACTTGCAGCCCCAAGATGGATGAGCTCCCCTTTTATTGGAATTGTTTTGGGGGCTTGGAGATTCCCTAAGGGGGATGAGCTCCCCTTTTATTGGAGTTGTTTTAGGGACTTGGAGCCCTAAGGGGGATGAGCTCCCCTTTTATTGGAGTTGTTTTAGGGACTTGCAGCCTCTTTCAGGGCCTCTGTCTCTGTCTGCAGGCTGGCAGCAGCTTCTTGAGGAGGGGAGAGGTTGGAGCCCCCAGGCCAGGCTGCCACAGCCCCTGGGTGTTTGTGGGGGAAAGGTTGGATCATTTGCTCCAAAGCTGGGAATGCCAATGGAAGGGATAAATTGATAATGACAGGAGATGCCAAACTGCAGACTCTTGCTGCTAATTAATATTCATATATGCCAGCTTTAGCAGAACATTAATTATGTATTTAATCAAGCCCTGTTTATTCTGCTTTAGCTTTGTACCTTGGGTGGCTGTTAGGCTGAAGACTTCAGATTAATTAAAATGTTACTGCTGTACCACAAATAACAATTAGAGAGGTGTGAGCTGAGCAGCTCTGCCTTTGTGTGGGGAGGGGAGGGGACACCCAGGACCCTGCAGGACCCTCCAGGACCCTCCAGGACCCTCCAGGGCTGGATCTGGGATGCTCCTGGGGGCTCTGCCCTGCTCCCAGCTCTGCTGCCTGATCCCAGGCTGCTGCAGGAGCCCCTCTGATCCTGGGCTGGCTTTGGGGTTGGGAGTGAAAGGAGGGGGTTATGGAGCAGATTTGGGCTGGATTTGGGGTTGGGGATGAAGGCAAGGGGTTGTAGAGCAGCTCCTGGGCTGGATTTGGGGTTAGGAGTGAAATGAGGGGGCTGTGGAGCAGATTTGTGCTGGATTTGGGGCTGGGGATGAAGGCAGGGGCTGTGGAGCAGATTTGGGCTGAATTTGGGGTTGAAGATGAAATGAGGGGGCTGTGGAGCAGATCCTGCGCTTGGGGGTGAGGGCAGGGGCTGTGGAGCAGATCCTGGAATGAAGGGCAGGGGTTGTGGAGCAGCTCCTGGGCTGGATTTGGGGTTAGGGGTGAAATGAGGGGGCTTGTGGGGCAGATTTGGGCTGGATTTGGGGTTGGAGATCATGAGAAGGGGCTGTGGAGCAGATTTGGGCCGGATTTGGGTGTTGGGGGTGAAAGGAGGGGGCTGTGGAGCAGATCCTGCGCTTGGGGGTGAGGGCAGGGGCTGTGGAGCAGATCCTGGAATGAAGGGAAGGGGTTGTGGAGCAGATTTGGGCTGAATTTGGGGTTGAGGATGAAATGAGGGGGCTGTGGAGCAGATCCTGAGCAGGATTTGTGGTTAGGGGTGAAGGGAAGGGGCTGTGGAGCAGATCCAGGGGTAAAGATGGAATTAGGGATGAAGGCAGGGGCTGTGGAACAGGTGTGGGCTGGATTTGGGCCTGGGGATGAAATGAGGGGGCTGTGGAGCAGCTCCTGGGCTGGATTTGGGGTTGGGGATGAAATGAGGGGGCTGTGGGGCAGGTTTGGGCTGGATTTGGGGTTGGAGATCACGAGAAGGGGCTGTGGAGCAGCTCCTGGGCTGGATTTGCAGGGGGATCAGCGCAGGCCCAGGCTCCGTGCTGTGCTGGCAGATTGCAGTTCCTGAAGGGAAGGGAGGTGATTTCCAGGCTGCTTGCTTTGTCATTAGCAAAAATTGATTGGATTCCCCCTCGTGGGACGGGGCTGGGCCTCCCGAGGGAAGGGCACTGAGTGCCAGATTGCATCTCAATTACCAACAGCCCTGATCCCTGATGTGAATGTTCTCCCAGCTCCATTAAAAAAGCTGGGAGCTTTCAATTGGAGTGATGGGGGTTTTCTGTGGTGGGGCTGCTGAAATTGAGGCTGTTTTCCAATTGCTGGCTTTAATGAGGGTTTGGGAACCTGCTGGGGCACCCATTAATCTGGGCCTGGTCTGGGGGATGCCTCTGCCTGGAATTCCAACATCCCTCCTGCTCCTGGAGCACCCCCATTGCTGCTGCAAGGGTGAGGAAGAGGAGGAAGAGGAGGAAGAGGAGGAAAAGGCTTCCCTGCAGCCTTGCATCCCCAGGAGGATGCAGGAAAGGGGGGATGCTGCTGGGTGCAGGGAGCTCCTGGAGCAGCAATTCCATGGGATGGAGCAGGAATTCCATGGGATTTGAGGGAATGGAGCAGGAATTACATGGGATTTGAGGAAATGAAGCAGCAATTCCATGGGATTTGAGGGGAATGAAGCAGCTATTCCATGGGATTTGAGGGAATGGAGCAGGAATTCCATGGAATGGAGCAGCAATTCCATGGGATTTGAGGGAATGGAGCGGGAATTCCATGGGATTGCAGGGAATGGAGCAGCTGGACAGGGAGCAGTGCTGCTCCTCACAGGGATGGGAAGATCCACATTGGAACATCCATGAGCTTTTTGCAGCGTTTCTGCTCTGGAGAGAAAATCCAGCTGGGAATTCCAGAGGGAGCCAGGGACGAGCAGGGAATTGCAGAGGGGCCAGGGACCCTGTGAGGGACACAGGTGCCACCCCCAGGTTTGGGTGATGCTCTCAGTGAGGGACACAGGTGACACTCTCAGGGCTCAGGTGACACTCTCAGGTGAGAGATGAAGGTGCCACCCCCAGGTTTGGGTGATGCTCTCTGTGAGGGACACAGGTGCCATCCCCAGGTTTGGGTGATGCTCTCAATGAAGGGCTCAGGTGACACTCTCAGGGCTCAGGTGACATTCTCAGGTGAGAGACCCAGGTGACACCTCCAGCTGTGGTTGCTGCTCTCTGTGAGGGACACAGGTGACACTGTCAGGGCTCAGGTGACATCCCCAGGGCCCAGGTGCCATTCTCAGGCCCCAGGTGCCATCCCCAGGGCCCAGGTGCCATCCCCAGCCGTGGCTGCTGCTCCCAGGCTGGTTTTGGCCCCGTGGCCCCAGCTCAGCTCCTCCAGGGCTCTCCCTTCAATGGGAGCAGCTGAAGGAAATCCTCATTTTCCAGGCTGGGGAGCTCCCCTCAGGCTGCTGAGGAGGGGACAGGGGGGTCTCTGATGTCCCCCTGTCACAACCTCATTTGGAGGCAGCCACTGATAACAGCACATCAATGTTTTGTCAGCAGCGCAGCCAGCAAGGTGACAAAAGGCAATTAAACCCAGGATTTTCAGCAGCAAAAGGCAATTAAACCCGGAATTTTCAGCAGCTGGGATGAAATATTCCACTGAAATATTCATGTGGGAGCTGCTTCCCTGCCTTGTCCCCATCAGAGCTCGGGTCTGTCACATTAAACCTCACTGAGAAAGCATTTCTGTGCTGGGAATGAAACTTTAAATATCTCTGATGGATTCAGGTGCTGTGGGGTCGGGAGAGCTCAGCTCCAGCAGGCCCAGGCCCTGCTCTCTGCTCTGCTCATCTGGGAAAGAGTTCTGAGCTTCCAGAGAAGCATTTCCAGGATGGAGGAGCGCTGGGATGTTGGGCAGCTGCTGGAATTCTTTAAAATCAGGTAGAGTTCTTTCAAAATCAGGAATTCTTTAAGATCAGGTGGATTTCTTTCAAATCAGGTGGAATTCTTTAAATTCAGGTGGAATTCTATAAAATCAGGTGGAATTCTTTGAAAATCAGGTGGAGTTCTTTAAAATTGGGTGGAATCCTATAAAATCAGGTGGAGTTCTTTAAATTCAGGTGGAATCCTATAAAATCAGGTGGAGTTCTTTAAAAATCAGGCGGAATTCTTTAAAAATCAGGTGGAATTCTATAAAATCATGTGGAGTTCTTTAAATTCAGGTGGAATTCTTTCAAACAGGTGGAGTTCTTTAAAATCAGGTGTAATTCTTTAAAAATTAGGTAGAGTTCTTTAAAATCAGGTGGAAACCTATAAAATCAGGTGGAGTTCTTTAAATTCAGGTGGAATTCTTTCAAATCAGGTGGAATTCTATAAATTCAGGTGGAGTTCTTCAAAATCAGGTGGAATCCTTTCAAAATCAGGTGGAATCCTTTCAAAATCAGGTGGAGGCTGAGCTGTCAGCTCCCGCTCAGCTGCTGCAGCTCCATGGGATTGAATTGAGGATTGAGATGAGGATTTGCTTCTGTGGGAGGAGGAGAAGAGAGGATGAGGATGGGCTGAGGATGAGGCTGGGCTGAGGCTCTGAGGGGGTTAAACCAGGCCTAGCAATGAGCAGGGTCTCCTCCTGCCTCCCAAATCCCACCTGAACGCCCTCAGGTGCTGCTGGGAACTTGGGGAATTCCTGGGATCTGCTAATCCTGGAGCAACTAATGACAAAATGGAGATTCCTGGAGAGCCCTGGGCTTCAGCCTGCAGGGACACAGCTCTGAGTGGCAGGGCTTAAACTCTTGGAGAAATCCAAACCTCATTATGGCAAGATTAATTTCCCACCAGGAGCTGGGCAGCTCTTCCAAGAGCGGGATGAATAATGGATGAGAGCTGGGGAACTGCCCTGGGCTGGGCCAGAGGAGCAGCTCCAGAGCCCCGGGAGGGCACAGGGGCACCCCCAGCTCTGGCAGGAACTGGGGGGTCCCAGGGCTGTGGGACGGGCAGGGCCTGCGGGGTTTGGGAGCACTGAGCAGGATTTGGGAGCACTGAGCAGGGTTTGGGAGCACTGAGCAGGATTTGGGATCACTGAGCAGGATTTGGGATCACTGAGCAGGGTTTGGGAGCACTGAGCAGGGTTTGGGATCACTGAGCAGGGTTTGGGAGCACTGAGCAGGATTTGGGAACTGTTGGTGGTGTGGGAAGTGCAGATCCTGCAGGATTTGGAACGACTGAGCAGGATTTGGGACCACTCAGCAGGATTTGGGACCACTCAGCAGGATTTGGGACCACTCAGCAGGATTTGGGATCACTCAGCAGGATTTGGGAACTGTTGGTGGTGTGGGATGTGCAGGTCCTGCAGGATTTGGGATTACTGAGCAGGATTTGGGATCACTCAGCAGGATTTGGGAACTGTTTTTGCTATGGGATTGCAGGTCCTGCAGGATTTGGGATCACTCAGCAGGATTTGGGATCACTCAGCAGGATTTGGGATCACTCAGCACGATTTGGGAACTGTTTTTGCTATGGGATTGCAGGTCCTGCAGGATTTGGGAGGTTGGTGCTGTAGGATGGGATTGCAGGTCCTGCAGGGTTTGGGATCACTGAGCAGGATTTGGGAACTGTTGGTGCTGTGGGATGTGCAGGTCCTACAGGATTTGGGAAGGGGATGTGGATTCCAGGCAGGTTTTGGGTCCATCCAGGCAGGTTTTGGGTCCATCCAGGCAGGTTTTGGGTCCATCCAGGCAGATTTTGGGTCCATCCAGGCAGGTTTTGGGTCCATCCAGGCTGGTTTTGGGTCCATCCAGGTTGATTTTGGGTCTCTCCAGGATCTTTTCCAGAGCTGTGCCCCAGTTCTGTGAGCCTCTGCCCGGAGCTGGAACTGGGGGATTTTAGGGCCAATTTTAGGGGATTTTTGGGCTCTCCTTGCCCTGTTTTAGGGCCGTTTCAGCTCTGGTTCCCCCCTGTCCTTGGCTCCAGGCTCTGAGGAGCTGCCAGTGTTGGGTTGTGGCTCAGGGCTGGGAATGCTGGGGTTATCCCAGGCTTTGCTGCTTTTCCTGCTGTTTCCAAGGCAACGGGGACCTCTCAGGGCCACAGACACGCACAGGGTGCCCTTCCCACCTGCTGGAATGCTCACCTGAGCCCCTCCCTGCAGGCTGGAAAATCCCTCCAGCTTTGGTTCTGGCCTCTGAATTCCACCCAGCCCTTGCTGGGAGGGGAGTGAGGCCACCAGGCTGCAAAAACCCCAAAAATTGGGGGGTTTAAACCCAAAAAATGGAGATTTTTAACCCCAAAAATACATATTCTAAACCCCAAAAATGGACATTTTAAACCCCCAAAATGGGGGTTTTAACCCCAAAAATAGGGGTTTAAACCCCAAAAATATGTATTTTAAACGACAAAAATGGGGATTTTAACCCCCAAAATACATATTTTAAACCCCAAAAATATGTACTTTAAACCCCAAAAATGGAGATTTTTAAACCCCCAAAAATAGAGATTTTTAAACCCCCAAAAATAGAGATTTTAAACCCCCAAAATTGGAGATTTTTAAACCCCCCAAAATAGAGATTTTTAAACGCCCAAAATGGGGATTTTAAACTCCAAAAATGGGGATTTAAAACCCTAAAAATGAGGGTTTTAAACCCCAAAAATGGGGGATTTAAACCTCAAAAATGGGAACTTTAAACCCCCAAAAATGGGGATTTTAAACCCCAAAGATGGGGGGTTTCAATCCCAAAAATAGGGATTTTAAACCCCAAAATGGGGGTTTAAAACCCCAAAAATTGTAATTTTAAACCAAAGGGAAAAAAAATACCGAGGCTTTGGTGCTTTCTGAAAATATATATTTTTTTTCCTGAGAAGGCTTTTCAGCTGTTTTCCTTGGGGTTTATGGGATTAACTGTATTTAAAATGATGGGATTAGCTGCATTTAAAATGATGGGATTAGCTGTAAGGTACAATAATCTGCAAGGCAGGGATTTTCCGGTGGGATTTGGGCTCCTTTGGGGCCCTGCAGGTGCTGTGCTGGTTTTGGGGCACACAATGAGGAGGGGGCACTGCTGGGACCCGGTCCTGGTCTAGCCCAGCTCCTGGTGGGTTCCTGGGATGAGCTGGGCTTTGCTTGGTCTGGAATCCACCCAGCTCTGCTGGGCCTGAGCCTCTTGGAGCTGCTTGGCTCCCTGGGAAATCCCATTCCAGCTGCTGGGGACTGGGGTCTTTTCCCTTTCTTTGCACTCATCGATCCAGAACCTCCTCCCTGTGCTGGGTTCAGGGTGGGCAGTGCTGGGTGGGATTCTCCTGAGAGGCTGGGAGGCCTCAGAGGGAAAGAAAAGCAGCATTGATTATTATCTGCTGCTGTGGAATGCAAGAGGTGCCTCTGGGATTGGTCTCATGTGGTTGTTTCTAATTCATGGCCAATCACAGCCCAGCTGGCTCGGACTCTCTGCTCAGTCACAAGATTTTTTTATCCTTTTCTCTTTTCCCTTCCCTTCTTTCAGTATAGTTTTAATATATAATTTTATTTTAATATAATATATATCACAAAATAGTAAATCAGCCTTCAGAAACATGGAGCCAAGGTTCTCCTCTCGTTCTGGGACAAACACCAGCAGCACCACACGGGGCTGCACCTCACTGGTCCTTACTGGTGTTTCCCTGTGTTTCAGAGGGCCTGGCAGTGGGAGTTGGCTTTGGAGCTGTTGGGAAGTCCCAGTCTGCCACATTCCAGAGTGCCAGGTAAGGGCTGGTCCTGCTTTCTGTGTGCCCCTCTGGGATCCCTGGGGAGAGGCAGCTGAGTGTCCCCGTGGGTGCTGCCGGCCCTCAGGAGGCGCACCCAGGGATTTTGGGGTGTTCACCCACCCCCTTCTCCTGCTAAAGGGAAAATAAACCTGGAGGGGAGCTGGGAAAAATGGGAGGAAAGGATAATGAACCTGGAGCAGAGCTGGAGAAATGGGAGGAAGGGGAAATAAACCTGGAGAAATGGGAGGAAAGGGAAATAAACTGGGAGAAATGGGAGGAAGGGGAAATAAACTGGGAGAAATGGGAGGAAGGGGAAATAAACTGGGAGAAATGGGAGGAAGGGAAATAAACTGGGAAAAATGGGAGGAAGGGGAAATAAACCTGGAGAAATGGGAAGAAAGGGAAATAAATCTGGAGAAATTGGAGGAAGGGAAAATGGACCTGGAGAAATGGGAGGAAGGGAAAATAAACCTGGAGCAGAGATGGAGAAACAAGAGGAAGGGATGATAAACCTGGAGTGGAGCTGGAGAAATGGGAGGAAAGGATAATGAACGTGGAGCAGAGCTGGAGAAATGGGAAGAAGGGGAAATAAACCTGGAGAAACAGGAGGAAGGGGAAATAAATCTGGAGAAATGGGAGGAAGCGGAAATAAATCTGGAGAAACAGGAGGAAGGGAAAATGAACCTGAAGTGGAGCTGGAAAAAATGGGAGGAAGGGGAAATAAACCTGGAGAAACAGAAGGAAAGGGAAATAAACCTGGAGGAACAGGAGGAAGGGAAGATAAACCTGGAGGAATGGGAGGAAGGGATAATAAACCTGGAGGAACAAGAGGAAGGGATGATAAACCTGGAGGAAGAGGAGGAAGGGAAAATGAACCTGAAGAAACAGGAGAAAGGGAAAATGAACCTGGAGGAAGAGGAGGAAGGGATGATGGGCCCGGAGGAAGAGGAGGAAGGGATGATAAACCTGGAGGAAGAGGAGGAAGGGATGATAAACCTGGAGGAAGAGGAGGAAGGGATGATAAACCTGGAGGAAGGGATGATGGGCCCGGGGCTGGGCCGGAGCTGCTGCCGAGGCTCTGCAGGGGCCTCTCGGTGGCCGCCCTGCGAACGGCAGCTCCCGCCGGGCTCTGCCTGGGCTCGGCTTTTCCCTGGAATTCGCACCGGGAGAGCGGGATCGGCTCCAGGGAGAAATCCCTGCCTGGGAGGGTGGGGACGGCCCTGGCTCCCTGCAGCTCCCAGGCCAGGCTGGGGCAGCTGGGGAGGGAACCATGGGCGGATCTTTGAGGTTCCTTCCATCCCAAACTATGCCATGGTTCCTGCTGAAGGATCTGTGGGGTCCAGCCAGGCTGATTTGGGGTCCATCCACGCAGATTTTGGGTCCATCCAGGCTCATTTAGGGTCCATCTGGGCAGATTTTTGACCTCTCCAGGCAGATTTTGGGTCCAACCAGGCTGTCCAGCCCTTTCTCTGTCCAGGCTCAAACTGTGCCCTACAAAGACACATCCCAAACCTTCCATTCCCATTCCCTGTCCCATCCCAGACCCCAGGGAGAAGAGCAGGATCCTCCAGCTTTACTCTCTGGGAGTAGAGAGCAGGATCCTCCAGCTTTACTCCCTGTGAGTAAAGAGAGCAGGATCCTCCAGCTTTACTCCCTGGGAGCAAAGAGCAGGATCCTCCAGCTTTACTCCCTGGGAGCAAAGAGCAGGATCCTCCAGCTTTACTCCCTGGAGTAGAGAGCAGGATTCTCCAGCTTTACTCCCTGCTCCCCTCAGCTCTGGCAATAAACGGCTCCTCACAAAGGCAGCAGAGCTGCAACAAAAGGAGATTTTTGATGTGCTGGATCAGCTCAGGCATCCTGGGAATCCCTGGGATCTGGGAGGGTCCTGGGGTTCCCCATCCTGCCCAGGATCCTGGGATTCCCCATCCTGCCCATCATCCCAGCTCATCCAGGATCCCGGGATTCCCCTGTCCCGCCCCTGTCCCGGGATTCTCCTGCGCGTTTCTTTGCTGCCACCGGGTGTTCAGCTCCGCTCCTGCGCCCGGGATCCTCCGGGAGCTGCAGCTGGATCCGAGCCCCCGGCCGGGATTCTCAGACGTGGGGGGAACACACGGAGAGGCCTTGCCTGGGAATGGGGATGGGGACGGGAACGGGAAAGGGGATGGGAATGAGGTAGGGAATGGGAATGAGATAGGGAACAGGAATAGGGAACGGGGATGGGAACAGGAACAGGAAAGGGAATGGGAATGGGGACCAGAATGGGGATGGGAATAGGAATGGGAACGGGAACCAGAATAGGATTGGGAACGGGAACAGGAATGGGAATGGGAACCAGAATGGGGATGGGGATGGGAATGGGAATGGGAACAGGAATGGGGATGGGAACCAGAATAGGATTGGGAATGGGAACGGGAATGGGGATGGGAATGGGAATGGGAACCAGAATTGGGATGGGAACCAGAATAGGATTGGGAATGGGAACGGGAACCAGAGTGGGAATGGGAATAGGAATGGGAACGGGAACAGGAATGGGGATGGGAATGGTAACAGGAATGGGAATGGGAACAGGAATGGGAATGGGAACCAGAATGGGAATGGGAACAGGAACGGGAATGGGAATGGGAACAGGAATGGGAATGAGAACAGGAATGGGGATGGGAACAGGAATGGGAACGGCTCCCCAGTGCCAGAGGGCAGGATTGGGTGGGACACTGGGAAGGAATTGTTCCCTGTGAGAGGCGGGGATGGAATTGCCGGGGAAGCTGTGGCTGCCCCATCCCTGGAGCGGGGTTTGGAGCAGCCGGGGCGGTGCCAGGTGCCCCTTTTGGGGTGTTTCGCGTGGGGCTGAGCTGTTCCCATCCCCCGCTGCCTGCAGGGCTGGGAATGTTGGGAATTTCCAGAGGGTGGGAACAGCTCAGGACAAAGTGCAGAGGGGACAGGAGAGGGGACAGCGCCAGGGCAGGGCGGGAGTGGCCAGCAGGGGAAGGTTCCCTCCGGGAATGGGGAATGGGGAGGGCAGGAGCTGCTCCTGGCCGCCCTCCAGGCAGGAAGGGCAAGGGAAGGGCAGCCCTGGCTGGGGGAAGCTGCTCCGGCTCCTCCTGAGCGGCGCGGGAGGGACCCGGAGCCGCCCTGCCCTGCCCTGCCCTGCCCTCCCTCCGTGGGTGCTGCTGTGACAGGAACCAGGTGGGGCTGGAGCTGCTGGAGCAGGAAAGGGGCTTGGAAAGGGGACACAGAGGGGACAGGCAAATCCTGAATCTGCCCCTCCCTAATGCTGGATCTGCACCTCCCTAATCCCGAATCTGCCCCTCCTAATCCTGAATCTGCCCCTCCCTAATCCTAAATCTCCACCTCCCAAATCCTGAATCTGCCCCTCCCGGATCCTGAATCTGCCCCTCCCTAATGCTGGATCTGCACCTCCCTGCTCCCGAATCTGCCCCTTCCTGATCCCGAATCTGCCCCTTCCTGATCCCGAATCTGCCCCTCCCAAATCCATGGGATTCCAGAATTGGTGGCAGGGAAGACTCCTGGTCCTCCTGGCATCCTGGTGTCCCTGGGTCCTGGCATTCCTGCTCCTGAATCTGCATCTCCCAAATCTCAAATCTACATCTCCCAAATCCTGAATCTGCCCCTCCAAAATCCCAAATCTTCCCCTTCCAAATCCCAAATCAGCACCCCTCAAATCCTGAATCCACATCTCCCAAATCCGCATCTCCCAAATCCTGGATCTGCATCTCCCAAATCCTAAATCTGCATCTCCCAAATCCCGAATCTGCACCTCCCAAATCCAATTCAAGGCCTTTTCTAAGGTCTCAGATCAAATCTTGTATTTAATTTCAAGCTGCTTTAATTTACAACCCCAAAGTTCTAAAAATTCTTTCCATTTCCAATTGGAACAGGTTTGCTCCAGGGCTCATCCTGGCTCTCTGTGGGTGCAGGGAAAGGGGAAATTCACTTTTATTGTGGAGCAGAGTTAACCTGGAAATTCACTTTTATTATGGAGCAGAGTTAACCTGGAAATTCCCTTTTATTATGGAGCAGAGTTAACCTGGAAATTCACTTTTATTATGGAGCAGAGTTAACCTGGAAATTCACTTTTATTGTGGAGCAGAGTTAACCTGGAAATTCACTTTTATTATGGAGCAGAGTTAACCTGGAAATTCGCTTTTATTAGGGAGCAGAGTTAACCTGGAAATTCACTTTTATTAGGGAGCAGAGTTAACCTGGAAATTCACTTTTATTAGGGAGCAGAGTTAACCTGGAAATTCATGGAAATTCACTTTTATTATGGAGCAGAGTTAACCTGGAAATTCACTTTTATTGTGGAGCAGAGTTAACCTGGAAATTCATGGAAATTCACTTTTATTGTGGAGCAGAGTTAACCTGGAAATTCATGGAAATTCACTTTTATTAGGGAGCAGAGTTAACCTGGAAATTCATGGAAATTCACTTTTATTGTGGAGCAGAGTTAACCTGGGGGTGCCCAGCTCAGCCTGCCCTGGGTTCCCATGGACCATCCCAGCCCCATCCTCAATTTCCTGCCTGAAATCCCTGTTGGGACAGAGGGGAAAGGAGCAGGAATGAGCAGGGGAGGGATGGGAACAGAAATGTCCCCCCCTGGATGGAGCTGGGGATGCTTCCTGCAGCCCAGCACAATGGTTCCCATTCATGCTGGCCTTGTTTGGATCTGCTGTGCCCAGGGATTGTTTCCTGTCCAGCTCTGGTGCAACAGAGAGCAGAGGAGCCCTGGGCTGACAGGGCAGCCTTTGAGCAGGGCTTGGAAAATGTTATTCCATGGGACAGCCTGTGCCTCCCACGCTGTGTCTGTCAGGCTGGGGAAAAAACACAAAAAAAAGGAAAAAAAATTGTTTGATGAACGTAGGGAGATTGAAACCAGGCAAAAATGTTCAGCTGTGTTCTCTGGGGATGAATGGAGTCATTGTGGCACTGTGGGGTTTTCCCTCGCACACTCACAGGTCTGGCTCTGCTGGGGATGGACC